GTATGGAGTTTTGTTATGACCAGTGTTGACTACCACTAAAAGGAAGACAGGTTACCAGCACACAAGAATCCTGTGGCTCCAGCATCGGCAGCCGTCTCATCTCTAGTCTGTAGTAGCCAAGGGGCCTGACCAAGGCACTGAGTCTCCTTTGGGCTTTAGTTTCTTCATCTAACATTAGAAGGTTGACAGGGTCATTTCAAGAGACCTGATAGTCTTGTGACCCTTTAATGAGTTTGCCTCTGAGGAAGAGAGGAAACGGACACAAATGGGAAAATTCCAAGACCGAGAAATTTTAGATGTCTACTGGGAAAACTTAATTCTGGCTGTTTTGAGGGGTAGGTAAGGTTAACATTTAAGCAGAATAACTCAAAAGTTTTATTTCATCATGATGAACTTAGTTATGACATGTGGCACTTTGTTGTTGTCAGTGGAAGACGTGAATTAAATGTAGTTGTAGCTATTTTCACCTTATTTCAGTCAAACAGCTCTGGATTTCATTTTGACACTGATGGGCTACTTACTCAGACCCAAGTTTGTGGCAGTGACCGCTTGGCTATCCTCTCAGATTCTAATTTCGTGAAAACATGTTTAGAGAATTGCCTTTTTTACCTTGTATTGCTGTGATAAAAACACTGACTAAAACCAACTTGGGGAGGAGAGAGTTTATTTGGCTTACAAGCACAGTCCACCATCAAGGGAAGCCACAGCAGGAACTGGGGGCAGGAACCTGAAGCACAGATCACGCAGGAACGCTGCTTACTGGCTTGTTTCTGAAGCCAGTGCTCATCCTGCTTTGTTATACAACACACGACCACCTGCTCAGGGGTGGCACTGCCCACAGTGGGCTGGGCCCTCATGCATCACTCAACAAGCAAGAAAATGTTCCACAGACAGCCATAGACCAGTCCAGTGGAGGAAATTCCCCAACGGAGGGTCCCTCTTCCCAGGTGTGTCTAATTGACAACTAAAGCTATCCCGCACAAGCACAAGAATCCTCCTAAATCCATCTTGTGGTTCAGCCATTGTCTGTGCTGCACCTTTGCTCAGGTCTTTGCCCTTAGCGCTACTTGGAACTAGGAAGGTTCGTACAGATTGTCTCGGGACTTCAGCAGCTCTGGCTAATGTTCTTCCCCTTCTCTCTAGAGTGTGTTACCCCCTGCTTGAGGCAATGATGGCAGCACCATAGCCACCCGCAGCCGTGAGGCTCATCATGGTGGGAGAGCAACCTAGGAGTCCCGACCTCCATAGCCTCATGTTGCATTGGGTGCCTACACCTGCAGCGGCTGTGAAGGCCTCTGGTCTTTGGGTGACTTCTACCCTACTACGGGGAGCTTCTCTGCCCTGTCTGTCCCATTCAGAGTACCAACTAGTAGTCCTGTCACGTGGGTTGTTAAGAATATTAAGCAGGTTAGCATGAGTTAGGTACCTAGGATATAGTGATATTCAACACTGGATCAAGATCATTTATCATACATAATCATTTTACAAATTAAAGTCTTCAATTAATTTTCCTCTCATGAAATGTCTAGTATTAAATGCACTAGATAAAGATTGTGATCATTGTGAAACCATTGGTAAAGGTTCCTTTTTCTGTGGTGACAGATGTGCATAAAAACTTGCCTGTCACAGAGGAACCTGATCCAGCAGTCCCTATTGGCTGTCCCTAGAGCATAGACTTCTTAGGGACGTGAATTGTTGAGTTCATGTGCATAAAAAATGATTCACCTTAGGAATGTCTTTGAATGTGCAGTAATTAATTTTAAAGTCAATCATTTGTAGATTTTCTTATTGATAGTTCATTCTCCTTGATATTGTTCTAATAGATCCCACATGTGGGATTGTTGCAAACTGCTGGAGCATTAGGGTAAGAAGTTGAGCTCCTTAACTATTAATGTGGGATTTTTTTTTTATCTCTTATGCAACTGCATTCACATCTTACAGCTCACATTGTTCTTCCCTTTGGAATTCTGGTCCTCTTTACTCTGCCTGGAAAAATCTAGTGTGCATCTTGTTTCCTCTGTGGGAAGTGTTCCTGAAGCTTCTCCCTCTCCTGTTCCCCCTGGTGCATATGCCCAGTGTCCCCACCACTTCCCAACATACACACTACAAAACCTGATCTTTCTGAGAATGTCCGAAGCACACGGCTTACGACTCACTACTTTACTCAATCACTGTATCATTTGCCTCCAGCTCACAATATTAAAATCTCCTCGGGGAACATCTTTCCTTAGCACCTCTTATCCTCAGGCGTAGGACCAGGACTTTATAAAAAGGGGCATTTGGGACAAGAAAAGGAAGCGCTTTTCTAAGCCTCCTGTTTGGAAAGCCGGCACTCCAGATGGTAATTCCTTGCTGTACTGGTGGTATTTGGTGGCCATGGTGGAGAAGGTAGTACTCAGAATCTCAGAGGAGGATTTGCATACTTTGAAGAACTACATTCTGAAATCATTATTTAGTCTTTCATTTTAGCCATAGCATTTTACTTATTTTGAAATTTCAAATGATATTAAGGGAGGGTGCCAAAGATTTTTTCTTTTTTACTGTTTTATGTTATGTGTATGAGTGTATTGCCTGGATGTATTAAGTGCGTTCATATTGTGCCATGCCTGTGGAGGTCAGAAGAGGCCATCGGATCCCCTGGAACTGGAGTAGGACAGTTGTCAGCTGCCATGTGGGTGCTGGGAATTGAACTCCGGTCCTCTGCAAGGGGGCCAAAGATTTTTGTCAAAAAGGAAACTCAACTTTTTAAAGAAAAATCTTTTCCCATGGACAGAAGCTGGCATTTTTATTTATTCCTTTTGAAGCAATTATTTTTTGAATGACTAAAAGCAATATTAGTAGTTTCAGTGTAAATGTGTAAGAGCAAGCTGTAGAAATTTTCACAAGCTCATGTGTATTGACCTGCAATGTTACAGAAGCATTCCTATTTTATAATATTCTCAACATTGAAGATCTAATGTTAAGGGCTTATATGAAATCTTTTTTCAGTGTAAATAGACTAGAAATTCGGTGGTGAGTTTGAACATAGAAAATGCTTCAGTTTTCTGCAGCCTAACACCCTGGTCCTGCCTCTTCTGCTCAGTGTCACTGAAGAGTTGTGCCTGCTGCCTTGCTGTCTGTGAGAGTAGAGGTGAGGGGGACTAGTCCATGCACACAGGCAGAGGCTTCAATGTGCCTACCCAATGAGGTCCCCCGGAGGCAGAGACCAGTGAACATTTCTGTCCTTTGACTGTTTTCACTCGCAGGAATTGCAGAATCTACCTCACTAATTAAGCCTGTGATTTTTTTTGAAGTAATTTTTTTTAAATACACATTTTAATAAATTCCCCCACCTCAGGCCCATCTTTTCTGCCCAGTCCACTTTCTCTCTGTGGCACATGCACATCTCCTTGGAAATTATTTAAGGGAGATTTCTAAATCTCCCCAGGGTGGGAGATTTCTGTTCCCTGCACACCCAGGTCTGCCCTGGCAGCTGTTAGCCCTGCACTGACATATAGGCCAGTGTTTCCTGTGCTGACAGTTACAAGCTTCCTGAGGGCAGGAGCCACACCTGCTTTCTGCTGTCTGCGTGTCACTTGTCCACAGTGACAGCTCACAGATGTTGTCTGAAGGAATACTGTTTATCCCAGCAAAAGCTCATGAGGACAGGTGCATGCTCTTCTTCTGGTGTCTTCTGTTCTTGTGCACACACCAAGAATCTTCTTGTAGCTATAGATAGGAAAGGTTTCTGGAAGACCGGAGATCTGAAATAAGAACCACTGCTCAGTCTGCAGTACTCTCTGTGTAAACGCGAAAACAGATGCAAAATGGGCACAACACACCAACAGTTATGTCAGGAAAGGTGTTTAAAGCTGTAGACTATACCACATAGCTCTGGTTAACATTGTGCTTCCGTTGTCGTTCATGGGTCTGCATCATTGGAGAAAGCTATTAGAGTCTGTATATGCAGATTAAGAAATCTTACATATATGGGCAATATGTTTCTTAGGCATTCTTGTCAAGAATTAATGAAATTTTTACTTTTTAAAATATGTATACTTTAATTTGCTAAGACTACCATAGCAAGTCTCACAGAATGGACAGCTGAAGGTAGAAATGCAGCAGGTGGAAGCCGGGGGTGGCAACAGAGTTGCTTCTGCAGACTCTGGTCATTCCTCTGGGTGTCTGTGTTTCAGTCCCCTCTCTTATAACTACAGTGTTGGATTAGGACCATCTTAATAGCTTCCTTTTAACTTAAATCACCCCCTTTTAAGATCTTATCTCTAGAACTTTAGCATATGGGTTTGGTTGGGAGCTCTATTTAGCCTGTATGAATTTTGCTAATCCATGCAGGTAGGACAGTTTATTAACTAAAGGTACATGAAGTGTTATGATGAGGGCATATTTATATATATTATAGTTGAGATAGATATATATGTATATGTATTATCATACCATATTTTGTGTCAAGCATGCATGAGTCACCATTGTTTGAGATGCAGTTTGACAGCCTTGATGTGGTTACTTCAAGCCATTAGAAGACTCTACCCTCTTCCTAGGAAGTAGTCCTACTAAATTTAATGGGTAAAAATAGAAAATATAAGTCCACAAGAAAGAGGGGAGAAGTTAAAAAAATAGTAATTAGCCCTGCAGTTAATAAGAACAAGGCCTTCCAAGCATGGCAGTTGTCGGTGCACATGAGATTTTATTAAATTCTCTGATAAATAGAAAACAGAAGAATATAGTTAAAAGTTAAAGTTTGAGGAAGTACCAGAAAGTCATATCAGCTGAGTCACAGCCATTGTCAAGGGCAACTTGTCTTTTGAGTAATTGACTTCTGTAGATGATAAACCAAAGACTCAGTGCCAAGGGACTAACATCAAAACATCGTTCTTAGTGGGCATTTAATATGTCATTCCCTAAGTCAGTAAGGAGGAATTAGTTTTTCATAAAGCTTAGAAACTCTGAATGTTTATTTAAAGACCCCTTCATGCTTTTTGCTTCTTTCCTTTCCCCTGCAGCTCATGTTTTTTGGAATCTTCCTGTGCCTCGACGCCTTTCTCTATGTGTTCACCCTGCTTCCCTTGAGAGTTTTCCTGGCACTGTTCAGGCTCCTCACTCTTCCTTGCTATGGCTTATGGTAAGTTTAAGATCATTGCTATTCGCAATGTCTAGTAAGCATTTTCAATGCTTTTACAGCTTGTAAATTGTTACGATAAGGCTGATTCATACAGCTTGGTGTTTAATGCAGAAGTTCTTTATCTTTTTAATATATTATATGGTATTATGCATTTTATATGCTCTCTTTTCCAAAATGGTTTTGAGCTAAAACTTTGCTTTAGCCAGTAACATGGCATTGATTTGAAAGGCGGTATGACCGAGTAGTAAGGGCACAGGACTGAGATTCAGACTGAGCACATTCCCAACCTGCCTATACCTGGAGTACTGGGTCTCCTAGGCTCCATCTTTTATGGTTGTGAGCCTGAGCCTTTAACTGCTGCGCCAGCTCTCCAACCCCCTAGGCTCCATCTTTGAATGGTCCAAGTTCGAGGATGGGGAGTGGGAGGCAGATGACATTAGAATCTCCTAAGGAGCCTTACTGCAGGATTCCTCCTCCAGTTCTTTTGAAAATCGGTGTTAGTAGCCTGTGAAACCAGTTACAGACTGCTGATTGGTGACAGTGTGGAACTGTAGTGCCATCATTCTGATGGGAAGGATCAGACGGCCCACCCAACATCAGTCAGCTACTGGGTTGTGGTAAGCTTGTTTCCCCATCTGTTAAAAGGGGATATTGAGAGCTCAGTACTGTTACTCCAGAGACCGTGAGATATAAAAGGTATGCCCAACATAGTTATGCCTTATCCACAGTACCCCACAACAAATATCACTTTCTTCCACTTCTCTTTCAAAACAATGCAGTGAAAATGTTAAGCATGTGTGGCGCTCACTGCACTCTTGTTCTTATGGTGGGCAGGAAGCTAGGATTTCAGAGTTTGCTCTTTGGTGCGGTTAATCAGCATGCTTCCACTGTGTAGTTACCTTCATAATGATACTGTTTAGCTTTAGCATAGTTGTCTGAGTTACATTTCTAACATGTCATAGCTTTGTAAATTCAAAAAAAATCAAAAATTCTTTTCATTTTGAAGAAGTTTAAAACTGCTGAAATGGACAAGAATTTGTGAAACTGCATTTAATTATAGTGAATGTTCACTGTAACATAAAACTTGTAACTATAATTGTAACTATGGAAATTGAGTTAAAAAATAATCCATGTACAAAATTACAAAATTGTAAATTGTTAAAAAGACTAAAGTCACAATCTCTTTTGAAGTAGAAAATGAGCATATACTCAGCAATAATCCATACAGTCCCCCTAAGTGAGCTTTAATCAGTACTGAGAAGGAGGAATTCCTCCAGTGTAAACAGAAATGATGCAATGATCATGTCGTGAAGAGAGTAAAAAATAATCCTAGTGAGATTGCAAGAAATAGAGTAGCTGTGAGAGTTCAGCATGTCTTGTTCTGTTGTCTTCTACCTTCTATGCCTTTCCCATCCTCCAGAATAGGGATTATATCATGTATTTATTAATCACAAGTTAACCAGATGGGAAGATCTTTCTAGGAATTCAAATATCAGCTTTGAAATATGTCACGTATACCCTTTCTACTTTGAGGAGCATTTTTCAGAAGGACTTTTTTCTTTTTGAGATAGAGTCTCCCTGTAGGCCCAGCTGGCCCAGAACTTGCTATGGAGACCAGGTTGGCCGCCATCTCACAGATCTGCCTGCCTCTGCCTCCCAAATGCTGGGATTATTCAGTAAACCTTTCTAAAGGCCCCTGTCCCATGGAACCTGAACACTAACGTAACATAGCCTCACCTCATGCTTGTTTCTTTATTCAGAGATGAGTAAGATCATGACTTTTTTTTTTTTTTTACTTTTTCAGAAGACACACCCCCCCGCACGCAAAAAAAAATATATATATATATATCAGTAAATCATTACCAAATATAAATCTTTATGTGTGGTTGCACAAAGAGGATAGATACAGGGAGATTAGATCAATCAGATGTAAAGACCTGGCATAAAATAACTACTGCCCTGTAGGGATTTTCACATCTACTTCATGAGTTAGATCTCTTCTTAGTTATTCTTTGATCAGCAGTGCTCACAAGTTCCTCTTTGACCCATGGTGTGTTCTGTTCTCTGTTGGCATTCTGAGATGCATTCAAAGGCTTACAACCTAAAGCCTCCTCCTTCTGTATTAGCTCCTTCCTTGGGTGTGGTCAGCACACAGGTGTCACAGGCTGTCTGGTAGTGGTCTGTGGGGTAAGGGGTCATCTTAAATGACCTGTCTTCTTCTGGCATCTAATTTTGTGTTGCACTACAGGTTTTTGCTGTGTTTTTCTGTCACTTGGGGAAGCAGGACATCTAAACATTTAGAATAAATAATCTTTCATTACTGAATATTAAGTGGTATTGCAGAAAATAGGAAGTCTTAAATCCTCCATTCCAATTTGCTTTCTTGTAAATCATTGATGCTTCCTATATCCAACTGTTTTATAATGTTTTAGGATTCTTTTTAGAACATAAAGATGATAGCTTTTTTAATACTCTTTGATCTAAATTAACTTCAGTCACATTTGAAAGTTTATTTCCATGGTTTTATAGCTAAAAGGACACTAAGGGGCAGCCTGTTATTTACTACTATTAAGACTACTCGGCAATTTAGATTAATTGAAAAGATACATTCCATGCTATCGCTAATATTTATGGCATGAAACATGAAATGCATTTAAAATTATGTATCAGAATGCTCTGCATGAGGGAGGCCAGGCTACAGGAGTGGGAAAATACTGCTTTAATGTCTGAGTGCTTTCAGTATGCTATGTCGAAATTAAGTAATTTCTGCTCAGTTCATGAGCTACAGTTTATTTTCTGTGAACGGTGAAAACAGTATCTCTGGCCATTATTTTTAAAAACATGGAATTTAAAATCTATGATAGTGTGAAAATTGATATGAGAGCTATGTCAATGTCAAGTTCAGGACCTTTCAAGTATTTTAGGACTATTCAAATACATTTATTTTTACAAAATTATTTAGAAATAGCCTGATCCGGCCATCTCACAGCTTTCCTCCCATGGGTCTCTACTGCTGTTGTAGATTGTTTGGTTTTTCTTGCCTATAGCAATATCATGTTCCATCTTTTCCAGCAAAAAGTGCTCTTTCCTTCAGTCTGAGTGTTTTTCCAAAGGGATAAGAAGAAATTAGGAACCAGAAAAGAAGTGATGTGTACTTTTTTCCCAATGTTTGTTTTTCTCTTTATTTTAATCTTCTGTCCATAAACAATGCATTACCTTCCTGGTCCCTTAGTTCATTGCATTTTTTTCTAAAATGAGAGGGAAAATGTGTTTGCCAATTAAATGCTGACTTGAAAACAGTAACTATGGCACTGTCTGAACATCTCATCAGTAATAGGGCGATGGCATTGCCTTCTTTCATGTTTGAGATGCATGCTTTTTCCTCTACTTGTAGGGTTCTATGGTGCAGCATCTGTGAGAGACAGCTTAAGCAGATAGCTGCTTCCTGCACCCAGATTTTCTGCTTTGAGCCTATTCCTAGAGCTTCTGCAACCTTGACATGGCTTTTAGTTTTGGTTTGAGGTTTGGGTTCTTTTGATTAATAACTGAATCCAAAATGTTACCTTTCAAGGACAAGAACCAGGAATGTTTTGGAGCCTCTGCTGTAACTTAGGCTTCATCTTGAATACCAGCCAGCAGGCCATTTTGCCAACTTGCAACCTGCTAAATTCTGTTACCTTGCCTCTGGGATGGGGTGCATTGCTTGCAAAGGATTCACCACTTCTGTAAAAAGCTTGTATCACTCCTCTGTGACCTCAGAAATACTTGCCATCTGTTTCTGATGAATTAATTAGCAGTCTTGAAATCTCCCTACCCCCAATGATTAATAGGAAGAAAAGAGAAAGACAGATGCATCTAGATTCATTAAAAGCATATTTATTCATATGTTTCTACATTTTCCTAGACAAAGGAGTATCATTTTAGAGAAAATGTTTGAGAACCTTCTTAAGTTAGGATGTTTTCAACAATCAAGGACATAGAAAGCAGAAGTAAGTTATATTCATTCTATGAGTTGTCTAGGTTTCCAGGAAGAAGTGTTTTACTTCTGAGAAAAACAGAGGTGCTAATGAGATATCAAACATCATCTTTCCAAATTTCCTTGTGGAATAAGTTAAAAATAGCCAATCATGTGGGTAATTTAACTATCATTGTTGCGAACACTCTTTCTTCCCAAATTTTCTACTATGCTTTAGAATTCTGTCACACTTAAATGTTAAATGAGATTACAGAGAAGCATAGTAAAATCTGGAACCAAGAACCAATAGCCGTTATTAAAGAAAACATTACTAAAACATTTTAGACAGTGCTGAGTGAGTTGATTATATTTAGATAATAAATGCTAGAGTAATTTTTTCTTTTGCTATTAGAGTAAATAAAATAAGTACCAGCAAGTTTTCTGATCCCTTGCCTTTGCTTTAGACAGAGCTCTTACGGGAGGCCCCATTGACTTTTACTCCTTGTATTAGAGAGAAGAATATCTTTTTCTTTTGAGACTTGACTCCATAGGAAGTTCTTACTCCACAGAAGAACTATGAATTTCACATTCTTTAGCTTCTTAATTTATTGGCTTTCCTCCATGTGCCTTACCTCTTTCAAGATGGCTCTGCCCAAATTAGCTTCATGTATACATTAAAGATAGGTTTTTCTCTTTCCGTACAAAATTAAGCCCTTCATTCTGGCCTGAGTGACTAATGCCACCACAAAAGTATATAGGGAGAGCTCTTAGTATCTTTCCTGGGGAAACAAGTATGTCTGTTATTTCCTCTCACCAGGGCTGATCCGTATGGTGGAGAGCAGTATATTGTTGCTTAGAAAACTTTCATAACATCAGGTGTTGTTGTCCCGTGTTCCTCACCGTGACGCTCTAAGTAGCGTAGCAACGTTACAACCTTCTCTCTTTCTTTCTCTCTTGTAAATCAGACCGAAGGGAGGAGCACTTTCACTTCCTTTATAGGATGGAATGTGGTGCACAGGGACTCCTTGTGGTGAGTAGACCCTGA